AGGTTTCAATCGGTTAATCTGGTTTCAAATGAAAATTTTCTTTGTAACTTTTAGGACGTTACAAGTCAAGACCACCCTCGCCCATCCAAATTCGGGTTATGTAAAACACGCTAATGCCATTTAAACAAAAGAGCACGATTGAAAGCCATCAAACACCCAATACCAAGATCACCAGCTTTCTTAGAAAAAATAACTCGGTTCCTAGAAATCCAGTGTGGTTTTCGTTCAGGAACATCCGCTCCCCAAAAAAAATTGCACATAAGGATTCAAAATGCTTAAGAAACAATTTTGGCACCATATAAATAGACATATAATAGATGGAAATACTACCCATAAAGCCTTAATCAAAGTAAGGCGACCAGCAATCGAAAGCAATTTAGCTTTCCAAGAAGATAACTTCTCCAAAAACATGTCAATCAAAGGTTTCCAAGAAGTTATTATATTCATATTACCACCAACAGAAACTCCAAGATACACAAAAGGCGTCTAGATTGCACTACACCCAAGCATACCAACAACTGACTGAACAAAGGTGAAATCAACACCAATCCCAATTAACTTACTTTTCATCAAATTAATTTTGAGACCCGAGGCCATCTGAAACACCTGGAGAATACATATAATAGGACACGTATTCTCCACCACCCAATCACATAACAGAATAACATGACCCCCCTCCACCTTAAGTGTCTTGCTTGAAGCTTGTTATTCTATTTCATATATACATTCAAGATTACCTAAAGGGGGTGTGTACAATATTTCTGATATCTCCCATCCCTAATCATTTTTTTTTTCAAGATTACCTAAGGGGTTGAATTCTCAAGGAGGTAATCATGCACGAGACGGTCATCTGTAACTTCAGGATCTCTATCTATCCGGTTTATTATCGTTATTTGTTTGTTTGAACTTGAAATTTGTTAAAAAAAATATAGTTTGAGCAATTGTTAGACAAAGCGTGAGCGTTATATATTTCTATTATAAAATATAGACATGTCGTCGAACTTGATAATGAAAGATAAAGTGTTACACGCATATGTATTATCAAATGAATCATTTGAAATTTGTGTTTATAGGGTTGACAATCGAGAGAGAATTGATAATTTTTTTGTTAAAAGATAAGAAAACTAGATTGGTTTTCATAGAGTAGTATCTGTTAGAAAATTGGGGTATGGAAAGACTTGAAAATCCTGAGAATCGTGTTAAACACTTTCAGATTAAAGTATTTGGGTGGTACTTCCAACCTTTAATCAGATAAGATCCAGAAGAGTTTCTAGAATGGAGAATATGAAGTTATGATTTCGTGATTGTTCTTGTACCAGGAAAAAAATGATGACCAAAGAATGATTAAGTATATCATTTGTCTGAAAACTATCAAGACAATTTTCTTTGTCCAAAACCTACTCCAACTGTCAAAACATTTTATAACAATCACAAACTATCACTAAAACCGGATCATTAAAAAGGATTAAAACGAAGTCAAAAAACCGGGTTCATTTATAGAAAATTCAGATTTCTAAGGCATTTTTTTATATAGCAATATAACCCAGCCAGGGGCTCTGCCCCTTGGACCCCGCCAGGGGCTGCCGCCCCTTGGACCCCGCTCCTAGGGCGCTACCCCTGGACCCCGTTCGTTTAGGGGCTTCGCCCCTAAATGACAGTTTACTTTGAATCTTGAATAAACTCAAACAAGTGTGCACTCCACACCTTCCTTACTTGTTTAATATTCATCAAGATTGATTTTTGGTCAACAAGTCAATCCATTACATTTAAATACACATTGATGATACAAAGTCACCAACAGTATCTGTATCCAAAGCTCTCGGTACACATACTCGGATTAGGGTCTCTCTATTTTTGTATCAATGGGACGAAAAAAAATTCCAGCTAGTACTGCCCTCTCGACTTCTTCCCGTGGCCATACCCTCCTAAGGTAAAATGACCATCTGTAATTTAGAACAAATATATTCAAAAATAAGTTGTAATTTAATTAATTTTGTTCATGTAAAAAACACACAATATAGTTTCATTGATATGACAAAGCGCATCGTTTTGCTTGCCAACGTTATCCTTTTCTCAGATCATATCATTATTTAAATTGATATTGATGGCTATTTCGATGATTTTGATAATTTTTTAACTATTCTTTTTTGAAATGATTGATCAGCTTAAACATATTTCTCTCCTTTTTTTCTTTTAACTTTATAGTAAGCCATATTATTGTAAATGTATTCTGAAAAATGGAATGATTTAAAAATATAAAATACAAATATTTATGGAAGAAAGACGGAGAAAATAATGAGGGGCGAGTCACCGTCATTGCCGGACTGCCGTCCTTGACAAAAAGGACGCCAACTTTCTTTTGCCTTAATAAATACCATCGCCAATGCCCACCGCTGGATCTGATTATTGCGTTTTAACTTTCAACACGAAAATGAAATGAGGTTATTTTGTGTCATTTCTTGTTCTAAAACTCATGCCAAAAGCCCATATACTCACATGCGACATACACCTTAAAAGCATTTGCTAAAATCGACCAATACTTGGAAAAAAGATAACAAAAACATTATGCAATATTTTTTTTACATATAAAAAACTTTTTGTATTGCTTTTTGGTTGAACCACATACCCTAATCTTAATCCACCATAAAACTGAATCTGGGCTTTAATTTTGACATTTTCGGTTCTGATATGAAGATTTAATCCCGGATTTTTAATTAAATCTCGTATGTTTGCTAATAATTTGTATTGGTGGTGAAGATGAGTAATGGTTATGAAGAAACATTAATGTAAATTAATGGCAAGAAAGTCAAAGTCTTTGTTAATCGCAACAAAAATAAAAAGAACTGGATCCGGGTTATTCCGGAAAAAGAAACTATGTTAAAATACGGATCTGGATTTTGGACTAAATGGATCTTACTCTAACTTCTCATGGAGTCATGGGCTAAATATAATAAGGCAACTGAGACAGTAAACTTTAGCCCAATAATTATGTAGGCCCACCAACTCTGTCCCAACTCCCAAATGACCAAATGTATACTTTTGAACAGTTGACTAGTTGAGGTGTTGGTCTTCTCTTATTATTAATATTCTTAAGTTTCAATCGATTCGAAATTGTGTAATGAATTTAAAGTTTCGGATTGCTGATTGACACTTGAAATTTTGATACTCGGATATTTTGTAATTTAATTCAATTTAAAAAAAATTAAAATTTATAACGTTTGTATTTGGCTAAAAATGGTCTCTTATCATAAATGCCTAAATTGTTATTTGTGGGTTACAATTTGGTTAAGATTAAAATTACGTACTTTAGAACACGCGGGTGCAATCTGCATTTATTGTTTTAATTACATAGATGGTAAAAACTTCTTATTAGGGATTCATATAAGTATTGCTATGGATTAATGTTTTAAAAAGTTAAAAGATATTATAATCAGTAAAATGCATACGAATGTGAGTACATATATTTAAGATCTTTTCAAGACATTATCTAAGTATCCATGTATATAAATGTATGGGTGAGAATTTAATTTGCATAGCATGTGATGCATCATCTCGTATGCATAAATGTTTTGGTAAAACATTCGTTAAACCTAGCTATATGTATATCGTTACCATTTACAGTTATAAGTTGTAGACGATATCACATGGGAGCAATGTGCATAACCTACATGAGTGGATGTGCCTAACATATGGGCAAGCAATGATAGTAACAACACATTTGCAGCTACGTTTTTTGTAAACCAAATATCATTTTTGTTACAATAAACCCGTTTTATGTGACATAAATGCATGTCATCTTTATGTAAAAATTAGATTGTTACGATGAGAAATGTTGTTAGTAAACAAACCTTGTAACTGGCTAAACGCTTAGTTCATCCATTAATATAGAAATCTAAGCTTTGAGGAAGCATGCATGGTAGAATTACAAGACAAATAATATGTAAACATCATAACATCTATCTAACAAATAAAAAGGTGAAAAGTAAACTAGAATTACAAGCATTTGTGAACATTTGTGAACATAGTTTTCTAAAACTTCCGGTAGTTACTAAAGTGAATAAGTACAATGAATTTTAAAAAATAAATTTTGGCAACAACTGACAGTATTGAATGATACATCACTTTCTTCCTTATGTGATGCCATGTGATTTAGTGTGCATCCCTTTCTCTAACCATAAATTACTCTTTTTTGGATTTTTCATGCTTTTTATCTACTATTTCCATACATCATTTATTCCTCCAATTAAAATGCGTGCATTTGTACCAAAAAAAAAAAGTATAGTTATTACAAAAAAAATATCGATAGTTGGATAATTGATTTTGAGGTAACAAATTTTCCAAAATAACAATATCTCAAAACGTGCATTTTGCCATTTACATCGTCAGAAATAAAGCATACCCACCAGCCAAATACTAAACGATACTCGATTCATTTATTTAGTAATACAGTTTGGCAAATAGTGAAATAGTAGCTCATTGATTAGATAATAAATAATCTCACTTTCAAATTTCATAAAAAGAATATTTGTTATCTTCTTGTCTTTATGTTATATCACAAAATTTGAAAACAAGCAGACAAATTGTAGTCATGTGTGTTGGTTTGCTTTTCGTGGGTATAAAGTGAAAAATATATATTATGATTCATGAGTTTAATGATACATAATCATTTAAGAGTTTGATTTCGAGTAAAAAAGACCACACTTTCTCTGTTTTCAGCACTGTGCTTTTGTAGATAAAAATCCCACTTTAATAGTTTGGATTGGGGCTATATCCCCTATTTTTGGAGCCAATGTTTTTATGGTCTCACCAAGCTCTTTACTTCTCTTCTGCTCGGATAAAGATAAGGGCACCAAAGCTTCGGTTCTCTATGCCACATTGATCCTGCAACATTTTCCAAAGCTCTCCTGCACACTGCACACCAACTGTTTGTGAAAACTCCTGTGAGATTCATCATGTAAGTTTCTGAACATAACAGCAGTTCCATGTGATCTGAAACAAATATGAGAGCTTCAAGTAGTGTCGGAGTTGGTTTGAGTCTCGTTTTTGGGTGTTTACTGCTAGCGCTTATCGCGGAGCTTTACTATCTGTTATGCCGGAAAAAGAGGGTGACGAACACAGAGATTCAAGAAACTTACAGCAGCCCAGCGAGAGAGTTTTTGTACTTGTTTTGTTGGAAAAAGCCTTCATCTTTAACCTCTACAGGGCTAAACACAGACACCCAAGTCCATGAACCACAACCATCGTCGTCGTCGTCATGGCTCCGACCACTTGGTGAAGAATACGACGACATGACTATCGAAACCGAGCTTTTGAGGCTACAAAATCTCTCAGCTCCACCGCGATTTCTGTTCACAATCAAAGAAGAAACAAAAGAAGATTTGGAATCAGAAGATAGGAGTACGAAAAGGGGTTCGAGAGGAAGGAGTTTAAGTGACGTTGTGTTTACAGTCGAGACTCCATTTTTCACTCCACTTGCTTCACCACCATTCTTGACGCCTCCTGTAACTCCTAGGGATTCTATTTATAGACCCTTTAGTCCTCTTCTTCATACATCGACCGATGCAGAATTCAACAGGATTTGGGCATCACCACCTCCGAAATTCAAGTTCTTGAGAGATGCTGAAGATAAACTTCAAAAAAGAAAACTGATTGAAAGATTTGGAGTTGATGATTTTAATCATGATGATGGTGTGAAAGATGATGAAAATGGATCTTTTATCACACTTATTGTCTCTAAAGAAAAGGATAACATCTCAAGCTCTTCGCAGGTACTCCCTTTAGCTGCTTCACCTCCAACATTCAGACCACAATTTCACAAGAATCCAAACTCATATTAGAGTTTCATTAGCGAAACAAAATGGGTTCTTGTTTGTACACATTTTTATGTTTAAACTTTGTATGAGAGCTTAATTTGAACTTTTAATTCAAAAAAGCCCATTAGGCCATTACTTATTGATATATTTATTTAGTGATTTACTTGTGTATTTTCAATCTTCAAACCGCAGATAGATACTCGTTCTAAAGTAGAATTCTGGAAATGAATTAAAAATGTCACACTCTTACAAATTCCCATTTTCCAAGAAAAGAATTTCTTGAATCTTTATGGTTAGTGTTTAGTGTAGTGGATAGAGATGATTTTTAGGGTGGTTCGGCAAACCTGTGATCATGTGAAGCTCATCACATCAAAAGCTAAAACTATGGTTGGTTAAACGATATTGGGTGCGTATGGAAATTGAAGACACAGATTTGTTATAAAAGATAATTTATCATGTGCTAAATGTCGTGATATGCAGTATCTAAAAGTTTTGAGTTAATCAACAAAATGACTAACAAGATATATATGGTATTAGAAAATAGACAAAACTTAAAAAATAGTACTTGTGGAATGTATTTTTTTTTTTTTCAAGTTTTGGTCTAAATAATGGTCCTATTAATCTTGTTTCTTTGTGGTTTTGGTAGAAAAATCGAAAAGATAAAAATATTTATTTTTTTAATTTAACTTATTTTTATAGTTAACCAATAAGAGAAGACCCATCTATCTCCAACATTCTGGGTTGAAGCACACACAAGCTATACGATCATGGGGTATTCTCACACCCAAAGGATACACAAGAGAGAGAGAGAACCACACCTCCCAATCTTTCCTAAGGGGTGGTGTTCACCTCCTCCACAACTTCCATGTAATCACAACGCTCTTGATGTGATGAATATACTGGATGGTCTAACGAACACTCACACACACTCGAGATCTTTGCGTCTTTTTCAAGATTAAAAAAAAACGAAATCCAAATCGTGTGTTTGTGTTCATCCATATAATTTGATTAAAAAACACATAATTAAACCCAAGCGATTTTGCCTGAGTGTGCATGTTTATGTTTTAAACTCATCTCTCTTATATAGATGCCAAGGATGCATATTGTATTCATATTTTTGAAGCACGATTCCAGGAACAAGAAATCTCGTTTTCCAGGTTCACGATTCTAGAAGCTGAAATGTTCAAAACTTATGAATCGATTTTTAAACCCGAAAACACCAAAGTTACGGATGTGTGTGACCGGCAAATTTAGTCTTCTTCGAAAAATCATGTTTAGCAACATATTATCCATTAATACTCAAAAAAACCATTATAATATTTTTTGTGTAAGATAAAACCATTTTATTTGTCAATAATGCCTAAACTAATGCTTCGTAGTTGGAAAACATTTGATAGCCGTTTACGTAACATTTTTGGCATTAGAAAAACCTAATATATTCTTCTAATGTTCGAAAAAACAATTATGTTATTTCTGTACAAAAAAACCATTTTATTTTCTGATTATGAAACTTAAAACCCTTTTATGGTATGATTTTGGAATATAAAACATTTATACCCCTTTTATGCCCCATATGTGGTATGCCGGTATAAATTTGGTTGAATAAATGATTAATTATCCATTTTTTTTTCACTTTCTTGTTGTATTTGGTGAATACTATGTTAATGGACGTTCATAAAAAATCACATTCTTAATTTGATGAATTGTAGAATTGTGCAGGTTAATGCGTAGTGGGTTTGGGGTAGTAAATAATATTTTACAGAAAACCTTATATATATATATATATATATATATATATATGCCAAGGAACATTTTTTTTGACAAGAGGACCTACAGGGAAGAGCTTAAGCAATTGTGTTTGTAATGCTTGGTCCATGTAATATTTGTTTCTTCAAGTTTTAGGGTTTTGGATTGGAACTTGATGAGTTGAGGAACTCCAACTCGTCATGTAGAGATTTTTCTGGGCACGGGATAAGGACCCTACTCGACGAGTAGGCGCTAGTAAGGAAAACCCTAATTTTCCTGGTTTTTCACCCTATATAAAGAACTTATGGTTCATTAGTGGTCTCCTTCATCGTCTTTACACTACATAAGCAAACCCTAATTGAGATAACCCTCCATATTGAGTGTGTGTAAGGCTAAAGAGTGTGTGTTTGGCATATTTCTTGAAGAACTCGAGGATTTAATAGCTTGGAACGAGAAGAAGCTTATAGATTCGACATCTACTCAATTGTAGCAACCATTTGAAGGTAAAAAGCTATTACCTTGATCTTTCTTTGGTTAGATCTTTCCATTCAAGAGATTAGGGCCTTTTTAGCCCATTTTGGACCTATTTTTGGAAGTTGGGAATGAGTGAAGTTGTAACTTCAGATTTGAACTCTACTAGGCCTTATAGTCATAAAGCTATCGAATTTATCAAGCTTTGACCCTTCTTCATGCCCTAAACCTATTATCAAGTTCGGTTTTAGCATTTTAGCCTTTTGAAACCTTGCATGCACATAAATTTGGCAACTTTTACGTGGAAACTACACCCTAGGGGTCTGGATCTATAGTTTGGAGCTTTAGATTCGACTAAAAAGGGCTAAATAGATTTAGATTGGGGAAAACTTGTAACAACTCGTTATTTTCTAGTCAATAAAAGTCAACATTCTTAAATAAAATTTCGAATTTTATTTATTTCGTTAAGTATATGAGGGTTAAAAATGATTTAAATTATATAAATGATGCATTTATATAAGTATTTGAAATAAAATACAAAAATCAAAGTTTTTCCTTTTGAAACCGAGAACCCTTGGGCCGAAACCCTCCCCCACCGAAATCGAGTCTCGGACAACAAACGAATTTCAGCCAAAAACCCCCTTTCCGGCCGAAAACCCAACCACAATATATTTTTTTCCCCAAAAAATAAGTCATTTTCTCACTTATTCACTCAAAAACAATCTTATTTTTCTCTCAAGTATCATCCAAGAACATTTATACATTCAAGAAAAATCCTTCAAATTTTCATAATTTTCACCAAGAACAATCTTCAAATCTTCAAGCTAACCGAGAACACCATAGACCGAAAACTCATTCAGGACCGAGAACACATTAGAACCGAGAACCTAACCCTCGATTAAGGATTTAGGACCGAAATCAAGGATTTCGGTGGATCCTTGACCGAAAACCCTCCTCAACACTTCAACACAATTTTCGGCAATCCTTGCAAGAAATTCCTTACATAAATCAAGTGTTGTCTAACACTTTAATTTATTATTTCGCTAATTTAAATACGATTACGTGTTTAAATAATTTTAGGATGTCGTTTTTCCCACATATGTTAGGCCGATGATCATCTTTCCAATCACGTTATCCCAACATGAACACACAACAGAGATGAGTTCATACCCAAATATTTTCATTGTTTTCAATGTTTAAGGGGGATATAAATAAAACACAAGAACACTTGTGTTAATATTTAAATAATTTTAAAACCATTTTGCAATTGAGTCCAAACGGATTTTATCACTATAATCTTTAAAAATATATTTATATATATTTTAAACCCTTTTGTAACATATCGAGCAAAAAAGGTTCTTTTCACTACTTCATACACATAGTTAAATTGCAAAGATTTTCATTGCATTACAGAACATTACATTTAAAACTATAATTGGTATAGTTTGTGAACTACTACACTATTTTACTAAGGACAAGAAACGATACCAAAACATACATTCAAATTATAATAGGTATATTTTGGGAAAGACTACTACAATATATTGATTTAAGGATACACTACTAAATAATTATCTAAGTATAATTATTTACATTACAAAGTACATTACTACAAAGTAATACATACAGTTTTTAAGTACAAGAGAACACTACAACACTACACGTAAACTAGTTAATATAAGGTTATGAGGCACTACTTCAATTGTACCCGTGAGGGTACAGGTTCTAAATCCTATAAAGTATAACCAGAGTCTCCTGGAGGGAGAGCGTGAGTTTTTGTATAGATTTATACGGGATTGACAACCCCACACCTAAATTGTTAGCTACATTTAGGTCGGCAGGCCTAGGGTGACAAATGTCATAACATTCCGACGCCTGAAGAACGTCGTAGAGGTCATTAGTCAGATTAAGCATGGTTATATGAAACGCACAACAGTATAACTAAAACATTTTTTATGGGATTAACACTACTTCAATGGGTTTATTTTATTTAATAAAACTACAGTACACGACTTTACACTACAGTTGGTCGTATCCAAGCATTCGGTTTTCATACAAACACTACTACAGTGCACCACTTTACACTATAGCTGGTGGTATCCAGACATTCATACAAAGGTGTTCATACAAACACTATTACAATACATAACTTTACACTACAGCTGGTGGTATCCATGCATTTATACAAAGGTTTTCATACAAACACTACTACAGTGCACTACTTTACACTACAGTTGGTGGTATCCAAGCATTCATACAAAGGTTTTCATACAAACACTATTACAGTACACAACTTTACACTACAAGTGGTGGTATCCAGGCATTCATACAAATGTTTTCATACAAACACTATTACAGTATACAACTTTACACTACAGCTGGTGGTATCCAGACATTCACACGGTGGTTGTAGGCAGCTGAGTTCGTAATTATGAGTTGGGGTTGATCGTATCGGTTCAGTACTACTTGTAAGGGAAGTTTTCCTCACTATACGTACGGTCGAAGGCACCAAGTCCGACCCTTTGGATTGTTATCCTGCTTTATCACTGTTGTGTTCTGTTAGATCAGTATCCTGGTAGATATGATGTTTCTATGTGGTTATGATCTGTTAGATCGATATCCTAGGGTATAGGATGATGTATGATTGACGTTCTGTTAGGCCTGTATGATTATTATATGTGCTAGCTAGCATTTGATATCTATGTGATAATTGTGTGATTGCGGGTGGGTTGAGGCAGTCCTGCTTTGTGCTCTAGGCCAAAAAAACCAGGGCGGCCTGGATAGACTGAAGGCCCATCGGGGCGTACCAGTCAGTCCGAAGGCCTGGAGAACGGTCCAGAAGGCTGAAGGCCCGGTTGGGCGGTCCAGACATGCTGAAGGTTCTGAGAGTGGGCCAGATAGGCTAAAGGCTCGGTGAGGTGGTCCAGTCATGCTGAAGACTCTGTATGCATGTTGTTTGTTTATGATATTGTTCTGTTTGTATGGCATTGGTATTTTGGGGGAACTCACTAAGCTTCGGGCTTACAGTTGTGGATTTTGTTTCAGGTACTTCGGATGACCGTAGGAAGGCGAAGGCTTGATCGTGCACCTCCACACATTGTATGTCATGATTTATGGGATTCTCTGATGATACATTATTTTGAAAACAATTTGTAAACAATGAATGGTTTTGTGATATTTTAAAAGTTTAAATTTTTTTATGAATTTTATGGATGTTACAACTGGGTTACATACAATATACTTTTGATCATGCCTAAGCTCTTCCCTATGGGTCCTCTTTTCACACACACAAAAAAAAAAAAAGACACCCTAAAGTGCAGATAAGGTTTTAGGCAAAGTATTATTTACTACACATCAACCCGTATAATTCTATAGTTCATCAAATTAAACATGCAACTTTTAATGAACTACCATTAACATTGTATTCACCAAATGCAACAACTAGTGAACAAACCATGGGTAATTAATCATCTATTCAACCAAATTCATGCTTAAGAATAAGGACATTTCTAATAACTTAGTTATCACAGTACAACGAGTGAGTAGGCAAATGGGTAACAAGTTGTGTCACTAAGCCTTTTTGTATGGCAAAACCAATTCTTTTGAAGACAATATCCATAAATCTAGGCGATATAACATTGTTATGCATGATCCATTGTACTCTGTTAAGAACCTCCCACAGTCTTCGACGCGAAGAAACCAAACGTATCAAACGTAAATGGTATGAACACGTGTTGATTTTCCATGCACGATTTCTCATGTTTTGTGGCCTTGCATGTAGCAGCTTTTAAAGTAGCTTGTCCCTCCTTAAAACCCCTAGCTCTCAAGCCCACGAGA